TTCAGATATTCGACAAAGAAGGTCGATTTAAATTCCAATTTGGTGAATGTGGGAAACGGGACGGCCAACTTCTTTACCCGAATAGAGTGGCCGTAGTACGTACATCTGGAGATATCATTGTGACAGAAAGATCACCGACGCATCAAATTCAAATATACAATCAATACGGTCAATTTGTGCGTAAATTCGGTGCGAATATCCTCCAACATCCCCGAGGTGTGACAGTCGACAACAAAGGACGCATCGTTGTCGTCGAGTGCAAAGTGATGCGCGTCATTATATTCGATCAAGTCGGCAACGTTCTTCAGAAATTCGGATGCTCTAAACACCTCGAATTCCCCAACGGAGTGGTGGTGAATGATAAACAGGAAATCTTCATCAGCGACAACCGCGCGCATTGCGTTAAAGTTTTCAATTATGAAGGTATCTACTTGAGACAGATCGGAGGCGAGGGAGTAACCAATTACCCGATCGGAGTGGGCATTAATGCGTCAGGAGAGATTTTAATAGCCGACAACCATAACAATTTCAACTTGACAATATTCACTCAGGAAGGACAACTAGTTTCGGCGTTAGAGAGTAAAGTAAAACACGCCCAATGTTTCGACGTGGCGCTCATGGACGACGGTTCGGTTGTGCTCGCCAGCAAGGACTATCGTCTCTACATATATCGCTACGTTCAAGTACCGCCCATAGGCATGTGAACTGCCCGTCCTTACAGGAGATACGAATCATACAAAAACTAAGCCAAAAAAGCTACTATCGAAATCGTAATGTTCACATAACTGATGTTAATAACGGTTCTGGCCATGTGTGTCAATTTTTGATAAGTCGAAGTGGCGTTCCTGCGTGTTTTCTAATGGAACATGTCTTTTGTAAGTGTGTTGCAGCTGTCTCGATGTGATCAAACAAAATGATGGGAGTCCTTTACCTATGTACACTTGGCATGAGATCTCTGTATGCGTTATTTCCAAACCAAACTGTACTGAGATTAGTTGTAGTATTTGACGTTGTTATTCGAGTACCCATTTCGATGAAAGAGATTATTAAGTCGGATGTCGACACGCCAACTGTTCTTAACCCTTATCATTTTTTTGATCAATTGAATAATATTTTTTCATATCCCATGTCGTTAAATTAGGGACGAATATTAAGGGCATTTGTATTATTTAGCCCATTTGTTGGACCAATATTTTAACTATTAATACTTAAAAATTGTTAGGCGTTAAGCGTGTGATTTTATCGTAATAAGAGAGCATCGAGCGGTATTGTTGTTAGTCGTAAGGTTCTTCGGCACAATGGCACTTCCTGTTTTTAATTAGCACTTATTCTGTGTCGATGAAAATATGATTATGAAACTAAATAAGAAGTTGTTACATTATTATTAGGTAAGTGTTAAATTGATTGAGCTGATATGGACAATGTTTAGTTACTGCCCCCTTTAAATGTAGTTACAAAAAGTCTAGGGAAATGTGATGTTAAGGGTTTTATCAATGACAAAGTTGACTGCGGCGTTTCTCAATTACAAGCGTCAGTAGCTCTTGTATCTACTAAAAGACCTACTGATGCTGTTAAAATAAATTTGAATTTAGCATCACCAGGTGGCGCGAGAGATCGAAAATTCCAAACTATCGACAGTCTCTGACTTTACCTCGAGTATTAAAAAAGCATTCTAGATTATTATGTAATTTTACGTTTTCTTTTTAGTTTATTAATTGGATGTCTGTCTTCTACAGCTCCCTATGTCCTGACGTCGTTACCGCCTAGTCACTGAGAAACCACGGACCCGTAAATTCCTCGTCCCGTTGTTTTTTAACATTTAGTAACATTTGGTTGATAATAATATTATTGTTCGTTGTGTAGACGTGTAGTGGTGTTCGTAGCGATCGGCCACAGTATCTCGTAAAGCACTTAGAAAATGTTCGTCTCGCTAGATTTTTGTTTTATTTCATTCGATAATTTTGCTGAGATTCTGGCGGAATGTAGAAGCGCTATGCGAATTAGTTGTTCGCTTTTTACTACTTACTGGAGTACTGTAACTTGCTCCATATACAAAATAATTATACAATTTGTTATTCTGGTAAGATATTTTTATACGAAAAACATTATTTTTGTAGTAGTAGTATTATACGGTGCATGTGTATTGTTTATCTTATTTGTATTACGCTCTTTTTTTATTAAATTACCGTGTGTTTGAGTGTGTTAGCAGAATTATTTTAGTTCGATTTTCTTTAGTTTTGATTTTCTTAGTTAATAATGGTTTTTAGTGTTTTTATTGCTGAATCTATGACAATAATGAGATCTGATGCGGTCCTTAATAACTGGATTGTTCATCCGTTTTTTTTTAATTAGTTATTATTGATCTGCATTACTTAATATTTAGGTTTACGCTTTTCGATTCGGTGATATTCTTTATGTTTTTTTATTCGACTGTATGTTTATTTCGATTTTTTTTATTGAAGCCACGTCTCGAGATGATCGCAGCTCTTTGCACTAGTTCAACCGCAATACCTGTTTGACATGTGCCATAAAACCATGTTGTGATTTAATGAGTGATATTTAATGTTGTTTGTAAATATGTACCATATATACTGATTAATTACATTATTCATAGGTTTATCTAACCCTTTGTGGACACCCTAATAGTGCAAGTTTTAGTTAACAACAATCCAGATACTGGAAGAAAATGTTTTCATTTACTCTTACCTTGTCAACTAGCTTGCACTTATCCCCGTTGAAGTTGTTTTGATGATTTAATTTTATAATTTGCATTCCACGGTGCATTCAGTCTGCCGTCACATCTAGACGTGTCTTCGATCCAGTAGTCGAGTACAGGTCGCAAATATCCACTAGATTAGGTGAAATAGAACGTATCGTCCAATCTTTAGAGTCTAAATTTCAGTGATTCATCACCAATGATTTTATTATTATATACTGCCGTGTTCCTAATAAATTGTAACAATTCCTAAGATCGGACGAGTATGTTGTATTTCATATAATCTATTGCGATACAATTTTAAGTAAGTCGCTTTAAGATTTGTTTTGCAACTACGTAAATATCTGATCAGTTTTGTGATTCGAATCAAATGTTTGAAATCAATGATTTCTATTATCTGTAATATCTGGTTATATTCCAAAGTTGATTCGATTCATCAAACTGATGTAGAACAGCAAAATTGTGGAGATTCATAATAGTTTAGAAAATTATGTCGTAAACATTTAATTGATTGAAAAATACAACAAGATTGAGAACTTTCATTGCGTACTTTACAGCAATTTTGTGGTGGTTTTCAATAGTTAAGTTTTTCGATACCTTGCATACGCTTTTACGTAACTGAGATCCATCTTATTATATTTATATTAAGTATAGATTAATGGAAAAACTTTTTTTTTACAATAAGATTTGCAAATTGTGACAACTACACTCACGTTAATGTAAAAATGTTATTTTGTCATATTTGATGATTTTTAACTGATTCTGACAATAATGCGTTTCATTTCATTAAATTAAAATTGTTTAAGTTTCATTTATTATCCTTAATTTTGATTCTTTTTAATAGTCTTGATTAATTTTTATGTTTTTTGCATAATACAAGGTATAAGAATTTTTTTTTTGTGAACCATTTCATTCTTAAATTGCATTTCTAAAACTTGAGGACTGATTAAATTTGAAACAATGTTTTTCTCTTTAAATATATTTTGTCGATGTTTGTTGTTATAATTATTATATTTTTTTTTAATTATTTGTATAAACAATTGTTCTTTAAATTAATGTACATCGTTTTGTTTTGAATTATTTTTGTTGTATAATTGCTTTTTTTATAATAATACCAGTTCATTGCAGTTTTACAGTGTGTTTTATTTTATTTTTTGGTTTTTCATTTATTTTGCCCGAGTAGCGCTTCTGGTAGATGTACCATAGATCCTCGATCGGTATTTTTTTTAGCAAATCTAAAGAAATAACCGATCGATGAAAGTGTTTGTTTGTGTCAAAGGATTCTACATTCTATAAGAAACAGTTTGTGCCTTATCATGGTTACTATAAAACCTTACTACTGAAAATAAATAAAAATAATTAATACTCGCTTCCGCTTTCATACACTCCAATATATTTGCTTACAAAAATCCTTTGACACAAACATGTCCTGCGAAAATGGTGATAGAGTGTGTGTTTGTGTGAGCATTTTTATTAAGATTTTATTAAAACAGTTGGTGTTGGGAACAAAAGTTGGCAAGAATCGTAAGTATCGCTTTAGCATTAGTGTCATCACGCAAACTGTAGTAGTAGCGACATTTACACCAGAATCAAAATACACAAAATTAATTTAACAATTATGAGCACATATGTAGAAATAGGACTATAGTACGGGTCCTGTGACGAACCTCAGTGGTAAAGGCGGTAATTTTTATTTAAAATTTTCACCTAACATATTCTTATGAATATAGCCTATAATCGTAATAAGGACTATTTATATAAAATAAGCCATTTAAATGCCCTTCTCTGATTTATTTTATATGGGAAAGTGACAAATTCCGGTACAATCCGGTTCTTTACAGCAGCACCGCTTTCAAAATCGGTATCACTTATGTATAAACCACTATTTCCAAGTCAATTACTATAGGGAACATTTTACTACTAGCACCTATTTAAGTAAGCTCCAATTACTCGAGTACTTTATAATTTTATACTAAACAACTTTCCTAAGACTAAAAATAAGATTCCAATTTTCAATCTGTTCCAAAAACTTTTTAATACAACATGCAATCAATTCATATCCATTTCATAAATGCTGCTTTTGAATTACAATTTAAATTATCCTACAAAAAATGTTCTTAATTATGGTCATAATCGCGTTACCGAAAAATCATAAAAATCGTGGTCTGCAATGATCATTGATGAAATTACAAGCTTTTGACATCATCAGTTCAACATCATAAAAGTATGCATTTCATTCGCATATTAAAAATTCCCAGGAAGTGTGTAGAAAACGATGTAAATATATAATCTACGATGTTAGTAGTATTAGTGCGTAGTGTAAGGAAAGCCGGGATTTGTAAGTTGGCATAGATTGATATAAATTATATCCATGTGGTAAGTAAAGCGAGATTGTGTATTTTTATAAAGTAAATTTCGAGGTTGAATGATGATTAGAGAAAAATTTCTAAAATGTTAACTAGGCCTGAGGATTTATTGTTGGGAAGAGTTGGGTGAATTAGAAAATGGATCGTAGAATACGAACCGTTGTTCGAATTTCATAATTGTATGGATTTAGTAAGGATTTATGTTAATCATATCGATAATTATACTTAAATATTGTTTGAAGTCAATACTTTTGAACGGTTAAAAAATCACCTGTTAATGTATTCATCATGGTAGAATGTATCGATGTTAGCTTGTCAAATTGTATGTGGTTAACAATTGGTCATTTATATTATATTGTGTAGTAACGTCGTTGAATTTTTGATATAAACTAAACGATACATTGAATTATGTGAGGTTTGTAAATATGATTGAATTAGAAACGGCTGTTTAATTACTTGTCGACATCCCGCGGTACGATCATTTCGTGGTTCAATCGTGTTGTATACACCCCGCGGTACGATCGTGTTGTATACTCCCCGCGGTACGATCGTGTTGTATACATCCTGCGGTACGATCATGTATACATTTCGTGGTTCAATCGTGTTGTATACACCCCGCGGTACGATCGTGTTGCATACACCCCACGGTGCGATCGTGTTGTATACATCCTGCGGTACGATCATGTATCCATTTCGTGGTTCAATCGTGTTGTATACACCCCGCGGTACGATCGTGATGTATACACCCCACGGTGCGATCGTGTTGTATACATCCCGCGGTACGATCGTGTCTGGACACATTGAGCAGGGTACGTGTTAGGTCCCGAACACGACGTTTGTCGCTGTTAGAATGTATATGTAAAAGTAATATATGTTTAAATTGCCGCGATCGATAACAATTGCTCAGGAATTGTATTGATTTTCTCGTATTGTGTATTTTGATAATTTATAATATTTTTGATTATCGCTTTTACAGAAATATATTATAGAGCTGCGAAGTTTGTATCGTTGTTAAATTTAATTGATTCGCTGATTGTAATAATTTAGGGATTTGCACAGAACGTTGGTATTTCACTTGATTTTTTGAGATATTTTTTCTTAAATGAAATGCTGATAATTTTACTGCATTCGATGACTGAGGTGAGTTCGGAGAGAATTTCTAAATTCGACCTAGTGTAAGGTGGGATGAAGGCTTTAGCGAAGCTACAGGAAGCAGAAAAGCTTCGACCTATGGCCGGTGACCTCGTCTCCTGAACACTAAGGGTCAACTAAGAGATTGTTAAAGTTAAGATGAGAATAAAAAAGCACATAAAAGCACAAACCATCCATCCTCAAAGATACTACGCTGTATGTTTTTAAATTTAAATCACGTTTGAATTTATGATACATTTTATTATAAAAAAAATATTTTAATATCGCTTATGTTAGTTGAGAAGTTTGCAAATAATAGTATTTATTTTCCCAATGATGAATAATTTTCTAATGACGATGTTTTTGGATTACTTAAGGTGTTTTATATGGTACGGATTCTACTTAAATATTGAATTTAGATGTAAAAATATGCTCTTACGAATGATTCCATAAGTTTCTTTCATCTATTAACATAGTGGCGTTTTATAGTTCTGATCAGTTTTTCTGTACGAATTGCAATTGCGAATGACTTCTTATGAAATCGGATTAATCTTAGCTCAAAGATAACAAATGCACGTACAGAAAAACGTTAGTCTTACATTTATAATTTATACATGTGTGTTAGATATTACCATGTGTAAATCGTGTGTGATTTTTTTAGTTAATTGTAAAATTTTACGCGCGGAAAGATTCCAAATATAGTTGGTATAGCTAAATGACATATCAATGTAAAGTTTCTAATTATAAAAATATGTTGGTTTGAATCGAAAAGGGGAATGGTTAGTGATGTTGATGTGATGGAAGGAAGTATTACGTTAAGCCACACGACAATACTGACACAAGTTTGGAATATTCTCATGTTGAAAAAATTAAAAAGATTTAATAGTGAATAATTCTTCAGGAACGTGACATATCATCCACTTAGTGGTGTCATTGAGGAAATAGTATAAATTGCTAGAGGAAATTTGAAAGTTTACGTTTGAGCGTTTGAGGGTAGGCAATTTGATTTCGATGGTAACGAAAGGGAAATGTTTAAGCGTAAATTTGGAATCTTTCTTAGTAAGCTAGTCACCAATGAAAATGCTTTTAGGTATTCTAAATGTTATACAATACGCACTAAGTCTAAACTAAATTAGTTGTACGCTTGAATTGTCCACACACAAATCGATTTTACACATTCAAGTAATATCATCCTGCCAGTTATAACACAATGCTTATGAATAAAATTTTAATTAAATCCTACTTAGCGTACGGATTAGTATGTATTTTTAGACATCGCATTGTGTATGTTAGTTTAGTGGTTAAGTACACCTTGAGCTTCTAACAATCTATCACTAATATTTTTTACGGAATGTAAAGTTAATGTTGACATCATCTTCTGTGCTGTTCTGTAATCATTGTAGATTAAGACTTACGTAGTCGATCGCTTCCACACCTCGACCATGAGGTCCTATTCATCTATGTTCGCTGAACTTGCGGCGTGCACGATGTAAATAAAATCAGTCATTAGTAAGTAATGACAAAAGTTTAATCTTCTAAAAATACTTTATAACTACTGAAACACCATATTGTGCCGTGGCCTTAAATTTAAAGGATTGTTTAAAATCCTTTTATAAAGTAAATGAAAGAAAAGTCTCATTACAATTTGTACAGATTTACTGAAGGCATCATACACTAAGTACTGCTTACTACATCTTGTAATCAAGGAGTTGCGACATACGTAGGCTAGATGTTACCGTAGTATTGTGTAGGTACGCTTTAACTCTACTGTCTTTGGGTAATTTTGGATTAAATTATTTCAATTCGTGCATATCTCCCACAGATTTGATATTGTTACCTACATTAGTTAAACTGAGACTGTTCAAATTGTACTCTTAACGAGTTTTCTCTAAGGGAAAGGGCTATTTTAGCAGATATTTTTGATACAATGAGGATGATCGGAGGGAAACGATCACGATTTGTAGATAAACGTTGAAGTGGTTGGTAACGCTCGGTTGAACCAGGCGAGAGTGGTGTCCATGCCACTCCTGGAAAAGTGTGGATACATTTAATGTTACTGTAACGAAATAAAAGACAACGTTGTTCTTATATGAAATGCGATGATTTTCGCTAATAACTTGTTGTTTTTCATATATTCGTAATATTTCCTTTATTTTTTGTACTCTTTAGCGTTAAGGTTAATATAAAACTATTCAATGTTAATCTCTTAAACTGAAAGTGTGTGTTAAGTGTAAATTAGTTTCCTCAAGGTCCTGGCCTTTTTCTTAGACTTCTGTATTTGTTCTCCTGTCGTACTGTAGCAATGTTGGTAACAGAAGAGCAAACGGCGCACCGGCAGTTAATTAATGTAAGACCTAAGTAAATCGTCGCCTATAACTTACTGTATCTTTTTGTATCCTGGTAGTTTTAGTATTTCCGCTCCCTGTATACAGATAACGGAAAAACACCACAATATCCAAGTTAATTTTGGCCTAGCAATGATTTAAGGTATTTTAAGGATCATCATTTCTTACTTAGTGTTACGACTCAATTTTAAGACTGATCACAGAAAAAAAAAGAAAAAACAAAAAAAAAATCCGAAACGATTGTTTTCATTGGTTATTAAGGTAGACACTGTCCATGCGCTTTTTATATCTTCATCTGACAAATCGATAGTTCAGGTAGAGTTTAGTGATTTTGATAGCGAAATTGTGAGGCGAATATCGATTTGTTAGATGAGGCTAGTGATGTCACATTCGATAACTCTTGTTCTCTGTCGATACTTTCCCTGTCTTCTCGAGAGACGATGCTTAATCGATATCGGTAATGCCGTGGTAATGTTGACTCCATAAATGTTGACGTTACTGTTGAAATTGATTGGAAAAATTTGCGAAAAAAAAAAGAAAAATACTATTTGTTGCCAAAGTGTTGTTAGGGATAAAACGTCTAGTTATAAAAATCGGTTGTCACATAATTTAGTTGTTCTTGGGTGGTTTGGATTAAGGAGAGAAAGTTGAAAAATATTTCTAACGATATATTTTTTCATAAAGAACTTGATTGCTAATCGATATTTAAGAATAATCTGTGTAGGAATTTAAACTTAAAGTGTGGTATATCGTTGCCACGATTGACTGTGGAATGTGAGTTACCAGTAATAGCTAACGCAATTGCGGACAAACAGACAAATCGTGGCAATCGATTTAGTTATTTAGTGTTCATGTTATATTAGATATTAATCAGTTTGAACAATAAAGTCTGTTTCCGTCTGCACCTTCAACCTGCTTCATTTTATCCGTCACGTAAGTCGAGTTTTATTGTTGAAAATCTAATTTATTACTAATTTTATATGTAACTTATTACGGCGCTAGTCAGAAAAGTTTTCGGATTAGGTTAGTCCTAAGTTTCTTTTTAGTTTCATTAGTTCAGTCGGTGTCGACTAACTTCATTGTGCTACTTTATTAAGATTATTTAATACTGTTTTCGCGTTTTGTATCGCTTCTCTCTCTAGTCATCTTCCGACACTGGAAATGTGTTGTATGTTGTCTGGATATTTATTGGGTTTTCATATGTTTCAGAAACATACGTTTAAACTAAAATTATTAGTTTTTTTATAGACTGATTTGTCATAGTTTGGTTTAATTTTAAGCAACATTGCTGTCACTATTTCCATTATGGATTTTTTTATGCTTCGTGTAGGAAATTGTTTTTTTTGTGGTTTTTTAAATGAAAATGTTTGCTTATTGTATTTTTATTCAAAACGCACAGTTTAAAAATTCATGCTTATATGTATTATGTTTACTTTATTTTATAACTGACCGTTTATTTTTAAAACCATTGTTCTTAAAAGAAAACTATGCTTGTTTAAATTCGTTCCCGGTTTTGGTTTAATGGACTTGTAAACATTCCAATGATGAATTCTATTTTCCTAACTCTGTTAATTTAGTTGTTTTAACTACAATGTGGGTTGAACTTCTAAGCAGTGCTGTGAAGGTTTCAGTAAGTCCTTTACTTGAATCTATCAGACTCAATACTCATAACTGTTATTCAGGTCTTAATTAAGTTAGATATTAAGGATTGATAAATAATATCGGACGATAAATTTACTTGTATGTTGTATTAAAACGATGAACACGAAATAAAGAAAGTGGTTTGAAACGTTCGTTTTATTTAATATTCCATGATGACCACGGAAGATCAGCACATGTGCTGAGTGACTTTAAATAAATAAATAAATAAAAATACTCCTGATTAGGTAATTCAAAGTGCTATCGTGGACATGCGAGGGAACATAAACAAGAAAACTTGTAGAAGACCGAACAAAGTATGTATGGATTGTGTGAATGAGAATATGCGTAAGAAGGTAGTGAATGCAGATATGACGGCTGATAGAAATGTATGGAAGAGCACATACTGTGACGACCCTCCATAAGGACAAGAGCATGCTGATCATGATGATAAGTAATAAATATAAATCACACAGAATATATAATGACACACACACAGAAAACAGCACATCAGAACTGAAGTGCGCTACTTAGGGAACTACTTTTGCCTAAATTAGATGAGATTGCGTTTCTTGCTTTAAACAGAAAAAGAGATACAAAGAAGAAGTAACTAATAAAAAAACTCTTCTATCCTGCCATTCGAGTTTGCTGCTTCTGTTTCCTGTAAATGAAAAGCTAAATATTAAATGAAAAGTAAGTATTGACAATAAAAATGCATATGAAATAAATTATGAACAGCACCATCTAATGGTTGCGTTTGAACTTACATGGAGGTAACAGTCTCATAAGTAGATATAAAAAATAGATCGACTTTAATAAAAAATGTTAAAACACGCGCTCTTAAAAGGTATCAAAAAGTTCACTGCTCTGCAAAAAAGTACATTTTAATATTCTAAAATTAGCAAAATTGTATGTGACACAGATTACAATTCCAGTAGAAGATTTCATGAAAGTTTACGAAGACAAAATATAAATAATAAAAATCATTGAGATTCCTTACTCGAAATCTTTGTAACAAAAGGTGGACGCTATCGTCACGTTTCTTTAGCACGTCAGCGTTGGTCACGCTTCGTGCTGACGCGGATTAACGTGTCGTCAGATTTCAGGAAAGGTGACACATTTCCTGCGTCAGATTTTACTTCATTTTTCATGTCCGTTTCAACATCATATTGCCTATTTCCTAATCATGATTGACGTTGTGTACAAGACTAGCTGTTCCCGTGCGGCTTCATCCGCACGAAATTATGAAAATTTATTTTATTGTTTACATTTGTCAAAATATCAATAGCAAATGTCAAAATGACATGACATGATAAACCTTAGCAATCTTGCTTTTTTAATGTTGGCAGCAACTTATGGTCTCTTTTCCACATTATGGTTTTAATCCAAAATATTTACCCCTAAGTTTAATGTCGTGAAAATGTATAGCCTAAAGCGTGACGTAAGTGTAGGGCTTTTTATTAAAAAAATAATTATTCAAAAATATGCTGTAATTGCTGACATCTTAGGCAAGAAAGAAGTGTGTGTTTACGGTTTATTATAATAGTATAGACATAGATTTGCAAAACATAGTTACATCACTAGACTACAATTTTACATTTAAAATTAACCTCTAAAACAGTACTGTAAAGTAAACGGCAAAAGTAATTTCATTTTTTAATTTAACTTACACCAAACAAACAACGCAAACGGAAGAGGAAAATATGACGGCGGAAACTTGGCACAAATAAATTTAAATGTAAATATCCTATTCGCGAACATTTCAAAGTTCCACAAACATATTCCCTTCAAAAGCTACGCCGTAGCACTTCAGGCTTCGCGTCGGGTCATGAATTTCGAAGGCCTTATCCGCTACGCCGCGCTACGTTGCTACGACGCAGACCGGCGTAGCACTGGCCGTTAGTTTCGTGTATAAGATGTTTTAATTGCTTATTTAAAATGCTCCTACATTTTTACGTTATATTGATTAATTACTGTAGTAAATACAAAATAAGTAGATTAGACAAATATCTATGAGATATCACACTTCAAGCAAATTTAGCAAAAAAAAAAACTAAAATTCATAAAAAGCATAGAACAACACACGTAGATTAACATACTAAGAAAATACCATGTTATTCATTAGTAGATCTTATTATTGGTATAAAAATTGCAAAATCGGCCCATTTATTCTATTGTAGCAGCGTAGAACTGCCCCCAACCAAGTGACCGTCGACTTATTACGGTAAGAAGGGAGTGGATCGCATTCCGTGTAAGGATTTGCTGAAGGCCTACGTTCAACAGTGGGCAAATCTACACTAAGTGTTATTATTATTGTACAATATATTCCTATGGGTAATTAATGTCGATTGCCGAAATTCCCTAAAGTATTAAAAATGACCCCTAGTAAATTAAAACTGTTGACGAAATATATAAAAGTCTCTTTGTGTTTAGATGTTAGGGGATGTAATATTGATTTTCATGTTGTTTGAGAAGTTCCCGGGGGAAAACTATCGTTCGATTGCTTGCTGGTCGCGTCTATTCACATGTTACGGTAAAAATGTAGATATGGATATTAAGTAAAAATAATTAATCTAGATAAAGAGAATTTTTACTATAACCTAATTTTAAATCTGTTTGATTACATATTTATGAAAAATTAAATTATAAAATTCAAATATGAGGTAGTGTAAATTTGTTTAAAAAAGGGTAGTCAAATTGAGTATGGATATTTTGAATCTGGTATTTAGACATTTTAAACTTCGACAAGTTTTACATTTTACCCGTACATGCAGAGATCATGTAACGAATGTACATATATATCTATGTATTTTACACATCCTCGTACCATTGTTATTCTGAAATTAGATAAGTTATACATACGACAATTTCAATCAATTTCTAAATGAAAAATTACAATGAAAATATTCATGAAATTTCTCAATTTGTACAGTCTATAAAATCTCCATTCTCTTATAGAGTTTGATTTAATAAAATTTACTTTTCATTCGAAGTTCAAACGATAATAAAACTTGGACATTTTAACGCATCGGTGGATAGAATATTAAAATCGCTGCAGGGGACGGCGAGGTTTATGGGTTACTTTGAAGGGGATCGATCTGTTCAAGGGATGGTGTTGAAATGCAACTATTTCTAATAGTTCTCATTTTGGCTAAAGTTTTGCCTAATTCTTGGTATATTAGCTTTTCTACCGTATTTATTCATATTTTTTGGATACTAGATATCGCTTTATTTATTCTCTTTTTGAAAACTAAGTATTTATCAAATAATTTTAGCAGTCGAATCGCATAATAATGCTACAATTTAAAACATATAGCATAATACATTTGTGATCATTGTAAATTAGACCCTCGTCTTAAAACAATTATAATCTCAAATCAATTAGATCTTTAATGGTACAAAACACAAAGAAAAGCACAAATACAGCTGCAATACACATTTTTGATCTGCCTATCAACAACCTTTGACTAATAACAGAGATCAACGTGATATAGATTTTATTGTCCAAACAATAAGACTGTTTATTGCTTGATGGTAAAACAAATTGAGTCCTATCATGCTTTTAGGGCTACGTCGAATTTGATGGGGTTCAATGGCAGGCGGCTATCGATTCGTGAAATGCAGACGATGCTATAGCGACACGTATTAACAGATATAGGTAGGGTTGTCACCAATATACAGAATGTTCTAGAAATTTGAGTAAAACAAAAAAATATTTTTCCAAAATTTTAACACCAATTTGCTTCTATTTTAACACGTTCATTGCCGACCATCATAAGATGCGTAAAAAATTTACTATACACTGAGGGTTGCCAAAATATGATACAATTATTCATAATTAAAATGGTATAACATTTACACTTTCTTATCACTATAGATGAAAGTCACACGAAACACTTACAAAACGTTGATTGATAACAAAAACAATATCATCATCATCTCCCCTGCCTTATCCTACTCCCGTAGGGTCGGCGCACCGGGTTTTCGTCCTTCAAAGCACTCTATCTTCCGTCATCTCAGTCATCACTCCCTTCTTGATCATGTCACTTTTCACGCAATCCATCCTTCCCTTTCTAGATCTACCTCTACCGGTGTACCCCTCCGCATTCATAACTAACGTCCGTCTTGTTACATGCGATTCAAACAAAACAAAAACAACATGATTTGTTCATATTTTACTGCAGTGGAAATTCATGAAAATAAATACCTAATGTAGTTGACAACCTCGCGGTATTAACTCATCTTGCAATGTGTTTATCTGTCTGGCTTTGAACTGCGCAGATTGTAATTTAGAGCTACGCAACAAACGCCAACAGGTACTCAAATTATAACAATAAACGTAGACGCAACAGTATATGAACACTAATATAATAAAGTTTTGGATCGTTATTTCACAATGGCATATTTTTTTCCGAGAATATAACAGTGGCTGGGAAAGTGTTTATCGCAAAAAATGTTTCTTTAACCAAATTCCTTAAGCTATCGAGTTTCGAGAACAAAATTTGTTTGCATATATTCTTTACTAACTGTTCTCGTGCAGCTTCATCCGCATGAAATTATGAAAAACTTTATTTTATAGTTTACATCTGTCAAATTCTCAATAGCAAATGTCAAAATTACCGTTACCAAAATAACTAATCCTTAATGTTGAGAGCTTGTAGTTTTTGGTCCCTTTCCCACATGAAGGTTTTTTCCAATTTATTTACCCCATACGTTTAATAGCTTTAAGATATATAGCCTAAAGTGTGTCGTTTTAAAGAAATAATTATTCAAAAATATGCTTTGATTGCTGACATCTTACATCACAAAGTAGTGTGTGTTTACGCGTCATTATAATATTATAGATTAAATTAGGATTTCCGAGATAAAAGTGCAACCCACCTGATATTTGAATACGCCCGGAAATCTATTTGGAACCTTTTTTGCACGTAAGTCATGCTACGATGCTACGACTTTTGGCTACGGCGTAGCAATAAATTCAAAACATATTTTTTTTTTATTTATTAGACAAAAGCATAAATTTAAAAGTACAATAAGAGACGTTATATGTGGTACAGAAACCCACAGGATTTATGTGTGACCACTGGTCGCTTAGTTTATAGCATATGAAAAATAATAAAGAAACTTAGACTATTTTACTCATAAACAACTCTGGTTTTCAACGGTGAAAGAATTTCAATATATTTATATATTGAAATTCTTTCACTGATTATACCAATATATTCTATCTATTCTACCAATATATTTCAAATATATTTCAATACTTCTCTATTACAGTTGGTTAATTCTGCATTCCAATTTACGGTTACTGGTAAACAGTGAATTCATACGTCACAGCGCATCAAATCGGATTGAAGTGTGGACCGCGTTATGCAATTCGACGCACAACAAATATTCAACGTGCAATTTATTGCTAAATCAAATACATGCTTTATTACCCAGTTACTAAGTTCAAAATCGAATGCATTTCATAGGCTTTGGGTGCAGACATAATTCGGTTGAAGGTACCAATAACTCGGTGCGTGCCTTGACAAATTTAAATTTGCGGTCACGGAACTGTTGTTAAATGATATTGAAACTTAATGTAAGAGTTTTAAAGTTGAAATTTGTAAGTGATAATATTAGTGATGTGGTAACGCAGTGTTCGGACAAGCGAATGAT